TCTGTGTTTGAGTCACCTGGCTAACGTCTGTGATTGGTTCAAGTCCCATTGCCGGTCTTGCACTGTGTTCTCTGTTTGTCAGCACACACACACACACACACACACACTGGCCTAGTTTGGGTCTCAGCAGTTGCAGAGCTCATTAAGAGCCTCTGTCTTTGTTCTCCGTTCCACTAAGGATGTCTCTGTAGTGCCAGCAATGCCTGCACACACACACACACACACGCGCACGCACGCACATGCACGCACGCACGCACGCACGCACGCACACACACACACACACACACATGCACACACACCCACACACTTGGCGGCCACACACAGGACAAACATTTCAGCCAGATGAAGTTTACAGAATCACAAACTGTAAAAGCACAAGTTTACAACTGTTCAAGGACACTAAGCCTGGTGTGTGTGTGTGTGTGTGTGTGTGTGTGTGTCTGTAGTCAGTACCAATTTGTTCACACAGCAGCTGTTAAAACCTCCAAAGTGTTTTTGTCTTACTTTCTCTGAACGCAGCAGGAGGAAGACCTCCTCATGTGAGAAGTTTAGTGTTCTCTATAATGTGCATATTAATCACATAAAGGACATGAAGCTTTGTGTACTTAATATGTTTTAAAAATTAGATTCATTTTACTCCATATCAGTGTTCGTTTTTTCCTCTATAAACTATTGTATTCAGGATCTCTGTTCATCCTTCTACACAACAAAATACGTACCTTCAACTATATGGATACAAGTACATCAACTTCATCAAGTATGCAGACTACCTCAGTACTACATCTTAATGCACTACTTTGTACTTTGTACATTTGTATCTCCTTCATTTTATTCCTTTGACTTTGTTTTTATTGTTGGTTTTAAGAAGCGCTCTCTGAATAAACTGTATTATTATTGTTATTTTTACTATTAATATTGTAAATAATAGTATTACTGTTATTACTGTTATTTATTTATTATTATTACCATCAGACACTAGAAGTAAAGCAGCAGTTGTTTCACTCGTATTAAGAGAAGAAGTCATTCAGAGATCCATCAGATTAAAGCTGAAGCATATCTCAGACTTTCCTTCAGAGGTTTAAGTCTGAACACATCAAACACTCTGCAGCTATCTGAGTGCTGAGAGGTGCAGCTTGATTACAAAGAAGCTTATAATGATCAGTATTTCTCAGAGGAGGTTCATCTGCTGCTTCTTTAATTACATTACAGATTATTTTCTATACGTCGGACAGAAACTCTCAGTTTAAATTTCCAGCTTTATTTCTTCTTTCATGTGACGATGAACAGAAGAGTGTTTTCAGCCCCGCTCTTCTGTCTCTCCTTCATGCATGCATATTTAACAAGGCAGCAGAGGATTTGTTGGCTTTTCAGCTTAAAACTTCTAATAGAATCCAGAGAGGAAGAACAGGGGAGACTGTGCATCCGGGTTAGAGATGATGAAAACAGCCGGATTTGGATTTAGAAGGATTAAAAATTCAAGAAGACAAAGTTTGGTTAGTACTAGAAAGCAGATCAGCTGTAACCAGAGTTAAGTGGAGGCTCTTTTATCCATAATCATGATAATACAGTTTATTAATAGAACACCTCTCAGAACCAACGTAAGGATTGTTTGCTCCTCAGGCAGCTTAATCCAGACCCGGGGACTAAAGGGGGGGTCCCTCTAGTCTTAAACCTGGTCTTAAATGTGGACACAGGAACAGTTTGTAGGTTGAGGTTCAACACTGAGAACCCTGAAATGCTTTCTGGAGCCTCAAAAGTAATCAATTAAATCCTGAAGTAAATGAGTAAGTGAAGTCCTCAGTCCTCTGGTCCTGGTTTTAGTTCAACCTTTAGTAAATACATTTTGTAGTTGGAGGCTGTTGTGTGACTCCTGATTCTTAAAACCTCTTAAGCACGACGCCCCCGAATTCGGGGGCTCTCGGGCTCAGCCCCCCTGAAAAAATTGTTCGGAAAATAGAATTATTGTTCGCCAATATTGTGGATTTGTACATTTTTTTTACCGGATTAAACAGCAACGTATGGGCAACACTATCATATACGTAAGTCTTACACACTCCAAACACAACTATAGACTACTAATATAAGCATCTAGAAAATGTGGCATAAAAGGACGAATTTCTGGCCAAAAATCGCCGTTATATGAATTGCAAATCAATATTGCACCACAAAGCTAGCGGCTAGCCGGCTAATCCGCACATCGTTTAGCATTAGCATTCTACACAGAATGCATAAATACCTTCGGTTTGTCTCTCCGTGAAACCAGTAGAAAGCTGTGAGTGGACAACGGTACCATGGCAGTGGTCTTCACCGGAAAGAATCGTTGGTTTTTGGTCACGTTTTATGAAGAATTATGACAATAACATCGAAAATGATCCGGTTCAGAGCTACCATCATTGTTGGCAACTGCATCCTGTTTGCTGCCGAGGTGTTTCCTGTGGAAGGGGGGGTCAATCCACCATGGGCGAGCGGTCAGACTTTCGGCCAATGGAATTTTACGCTCGGGGATACGCGGCACTTCTTGCAACTTAACTCGCTGAAACTTCTGTCAATCAACACCTGCTTCGACACCCACCTTCCTGAGACTCTGAAGCTTCGAAAGCGGGCTCATTGACTGAAATCGACCGATGATAGGCTGAGCTACAGCCACATACACACACATGAACTGAGAAAATCCTATGGATAAGAGCCAGAGACAGGCTCTGACAGCACCCTGGCTCTCAAAATTATTCTAAACAGCTGTATTTGGATGTATTGAATAATATGAGTGATAAAAAAAGTGAAATATATAGTTATATAGTATATAAAAGTACAATGTAAGAGCTGCAACAGCTGGTTCCAGAATGACGACCTCGCGTGACCTCTCTGTACTAAAGCCTCTTATTCTTCACTTTATCCCAGCCAAACGTTATTCTACGACTACTGATCGGTTGTGATATGATTTGGGAGAGTTTTTTGTCAGCCAGCTGCATTATTTCAAAAACATAATATCAATAAAAGTGCTTTTTTTTCAGGCGAACCTGAATATTTTCAATTTGAGCTGTGTAATATCTTCATGTACTATATTAACCAGCAACATATACACAATATTTACCCATCTGAACAATCTCAAAGTGTTATCTGAATTATAGCATCAAAAATTATTGAAATAGACCTTGTAGTTACAGAACTCTGGTCACTTTAGCATGGGTATGCCATTTTTTCGAGCAGAGGCCTACAAATAGGGCTCGAGCTTATTAAAGACCCCCTTTAGTCCCTCAGACTGGATGTAGACACGGCTTTGAACAGCAGCGCTGCACATGGAGATGCAGATTCCAGCAATACAGTGAAGTTATTTTGGGTTTTTGAGAAGAGGCTGGACATCCTGCACCAGTGACACAAAGTTCTGAAACACAGAAACTATTAGAAACAACAATTCTGTCAGGATCCCTGTCAGACCAGACACCTCCCATGGCCACACAGCTGCAGACACTTCAG